CGTCTCAAACTCTGTCTAGTTGTTTTAAAGTTGTTTGTTTCGAGTAGTTTCCTTTATTTTCACAGTTGATAGCCCAGATGCATGATACTTGATAATGGTGTTTCGAACAGCCAGACACAAACTCCCTCCTCCTTTCACGGGCGCTATTGCGAAAAATAAACCAAAAATGACTTATTTGGTCATTGTACAGTTCAAAAATCATTGGGGGCGTGGTTTGCATAATTAACCAAAGAACGGTACGGTTCGTTTCTTGCACGGAACGGTACGCTTTGTGGACGGTACGGTACGCTTTGTGCACGGAACAGTTCGCTTTGTGGACGGTACGGTACGCTTTGAGCACGGAACGGTTCGCTTTGTGGACGGTACGGTACGCTTTGTGAACGGAACAGTTCGCTTTGTGCACGGAACGGTTCGCTTTGTTCACGGTACGATACGCTTTGTGCACGGAACGGTACGGTTCGTTTCTGAGGTGTAGTAGCACGGTTTAGGGTCTGTACGTAATGACGTCACAAACATGACGTAATTTCAGTTTTTTATGAATTTTACAGAAAACTGTACATATTTCGTTGATATTTTGAGTAAAAGTCACCGAGCGCATGTGTATTCAGGATCAATATTTTAATATAATGTGTAGAATGATAATATCAATGAAATATGTCAATATTGTTCCTGAACAAACTTGCGCTCTATAAATTTTGAAGCTAAAACTGTTGAAATTTTGTCCATTTTGTCCTCTTTCTGAAAAAGGATATAAAATCGGACTAGTTTGTGACTTAATAAAAACAAAAATTGTGAATACACTTCTTTGACACTATAATATTTTCTGTTAATTTATATTTCTCATACAATTTATAGAAATCACCACATTTCAGGAAGTTTTCAAAATATGATTTTTGTGGGGGCAAATATATGCAATATACCGCATATAGTTCTTTAAATCTACACTACTTGAGCATGCTTCCATATAAATATGATGAATTATGGCTTTGTCATTCTTGAGAAGAAGATGTTTAAAGAATTTTCCTATATATTTCTACGTAAAACTTTGGTCGGCCATTTTGGCCCCGCCCTACCCCCGGGGGTCATGCTTTGAACAAACTTGAATCTACACTACCTGAGCATGCTTCCATATAAATATGATGAATTATGGCTTTGTCATTCTTGAGAAGATTTTTAAAGAATTTTCCTATACATTTCTATGTAAAACTTTGGTCGGCCATTTTGGCCCAGCCCTACCCCCAGGGGTCATGATTTGAACAAACTTGAATCTACACTACCTGAGCATGCTTCCATATAAATATGATAAATTATGGCTTTGTCATTCTTGAGAAGAAGATGTTTAAAGAATATTTCCTATATATTTCTATGTAAAACTTTGGTCGGCCATTTTGGCCCCGCTCTACCCCCGGGGGTCATGACTTGAACAAACTTGAATCTACACTACCTGAACATGCTTCCACATAAATATGATGAATAATGGCTTTGTCATTCTTGAGAAGAAGTTTTTAAAAGAATTTTCCTATATATTTCTATGTAAAACTTTGGTCGGCCATTTTGGCCCCGCCCTACCCCGGGGGGTCATGATTTGAACAAACTTGAATCTATACTACCTGAACATGCTTCCATATAAATATGATGAATTATGGCTCTGTCATTCTTGAGAAGAAGATTTTTAAAGAATTTTCCTATAAATTTCTACATAAAACTTTGGTCGGCCATTTTGGCCCCGCCCTACCCCCGGGGGTCATGATTTGAACAAACTTGAATCTACACTACCTGAACATGCTTCCATATAAATATGATGAATTATGGCTTTGTCATTCTTGAGAAGAAGATTTTTAAAGAATTTTCCTATATACAGTGGACCTTCAGATATCCGGACGCCAGATATCCGGATGCTTCAGTAACCGGACGATTTTTCATCGGAACGGAATTTTGAAATGTTATTCTTTCTTGTTTAACTGGCGATTCAGATATCCGGATGCTTCACGTATCCGGACAAATTGACTGGGAACCAAAGTGTCCGGATAAATGAGGGTCCACTGTATTTCTATGTAAAACTTTGGTCGGCCATTTTGGCCCCGCCCTACCCCCGGGGGTCATGATTTGAACAAACTTGAATCTACACTACCTGTGGATGTTTCCCCATAAGTTTCATCTTTCCTGGCACAGTGGTTCTTGAGAAGAAGATTTTTAAAATATGCCACCAAAATTTCAATTTTTCCCAATTATCTCCCCTTGAATGAGGGCGTGGCCCTTCATTTGAACAAACTTGAATCCCCTTCACCAAAGGATACTTTGTGGCAAGTTTGGTTGAAATTGGCCCAGCGGTTCTTGAGAAGAAGTCGAAAATGTGAAAAGTTTACAGACAGACAGACAGACAGACGGACAGACAGACGGACAGCTAGACGGACAGACGGACGCCGGACAAAATGTGATCAGAAAAGCTCACTTGAGCCTTCGGCTCAGGTGAGCTACAAAATTTTATATAAGATTTGAAAATTAAGCTGGGAAGTGCGCCAATGATAGGCCTAAATCAAAATGGAACAAGAGGCCCATGGGCCTTATAGGTCACCTGAGCATTATGCAACAACTTTCCAGTTATTGAATTTGATTCATGTTTTAAGCCAGATGCTATGGCATTCACAATTTTGAAAGACGCACCATTGATAATCATAACAATACACTCAGCAGTTGCTTAGCTCGGTTACTTAATACCCATAAGCAGGGTAGGGGAACAAAAAATGCATTTCAACTTATCAAAAATATTCAGCAATACCGGTAATTAATAGTGCCCTTACCACATGTACCCCTGATCCTTAGGCCTAGATCCACACACTGGACAAATTTTGAAAAGGAGCAGATTTCAAACAATTCATTCATTTTTAGTACATAAATACAGCCCCCCCCCCCCTCTATGGTACCCCTGACCCTAAAGCCTTGAAATTCACAGTTCCGGATGATTAGTACCCTTGCTCATCATAACTATATTAAGGTAATTCATCTGCTTCGTACCCAGAGAAAAATTTTTTCAAAGATTTAATGTAATTTTTCACTGCATAATCATTATAGTGCCCCGCCCAAACACCAGAACCCCTGACCCTGGGGACATAAAATTCACAATTTTGGTAGAGGCATTCTTGCTTATCATAACTATGTACTTAGTTAGTTTATTTAATACCCAGGAGCAGAGAAAAAGATTTTCAAATAATTCATGTATTTTCACTATATAATCAATAGAGCCCTGCCCTAACACCACAATCCCTGACCCTGGGGCCATAAAATTCACATTTTTGGTAGAGGCATTCTTGCTCATCATATTTATGCACTAATTTAGTTTATTTAATACCCAGGAGCAGAGAAGATGATTTTCAAAGTAATAAAGCATTTTCACTATATAATCTATAGAGCCCCGCCCTAACACTAGAACCCCTGACCCTTGGGCCATAAAATTCACAATTTTGGTAGAGGCATTCTTGCTCATCATATTTATGCACTAATTTAGTTTATTTAATACTGAGGAGCAGAGAAAAAGATTTTCAAAGAATTCATGTATTTTCACTATATAATCTATAGAGCCCCGCCCTAACACCAATAACCCTGACCCTGGGGCCATAAAATTCACAATTTTGGTAGAGGCATTCTTGCTCATCATATTTATGCACTTAGTTAGTTTATTTAATACCCAGGAGCAGAGAAGATGATTTTCAAAGTAATAAAGCATTTTCACTATATAATCTATAGAGCCCCGCCCTAACACTAGAACCCCTGACCCTGGGGCCATAAAATTCACAATTTCGGTAGAGGCACTCTTGCTCATCATATTTATGCACTAATTTAGTTTATTTAATACTGAGGAGCAGAGAAAAAGATTTTCAAAGAATTCATGTATTTTCACTATATAATCTATAGAGCCCTGCCCTAACACCAGAAACCCTGACCCTGGGGCCATAAAAATCACAATTTTGGTAGAGGCACTCTTTCTCATCATAACTATGCACTGATTTAGTTTATTTAATACCCAGAAGCAGAGAAGAAGATTTTCAAAGAAATAATGCATTTTCACTATATAATCTATAGAGCCCCGCCCTAACACTAGAACCCCCGACCCTGGGGCCATTAAATTCACAATTTTGGTAGAGGCACTCTTGCTCATCATATTTATACACTAATTTAGTTTATTTAATACCCAGGAGCAGAGAAGATGATTTTCAAAGAAATAAAGCATTTTCACTATATAATCTATAGAGCCCCGCCCTAACACTAGAACCCCTGACCCTGGGGCCATAGAATTCACAATTTTGGTAGAGGCACTCTTTCTCATCATAACTATGGACGTAGATAGTTTATTCAATACCCAGAAGCAGAGAAGAAGATTTTCAAAGAAATAATGCATTTTCACTATATACTTATTTAGCCCCGCCCTAGCACTAGAACTCCTGACCCTGGGGCCATGAATTTCACAATTTTGGTAGAGGACTCAAAGCTTATTACAATCATGCAAACAGTTTGCCTGCTTGATGTCCAGGAGTAAAGAAGAAGATTTTTAAAGATTGCATTAATTTTAGTGGTTTTGGCCCCACCCCTCAGGCCCCAGGGGGGCAGGGATCATGAAATTCACAATTTTTGTTCCCCTTCACCCATAGATGCTTTGTGCCAAATTTGGTTGAAATTGGTTCAGTGGTTGCAGAGAAGAAGCTGAAAATGTTCAAATGTTAACGGACGACGCACGACGCCGGACGAAAACGGATAGCAATAGTTCACCTGAGTTTACTCAGGTGACCTAAAAACAAATACTTTGAACAAAGAAAGAGGTCGGTCATTTGGACCGACATCGATAGCATTTTACCGGTCACAGGCATTTCCTGCCGGTCTTGCCGGCATGACCGGCAGTTTTCCACAGCTCTGAACTCATTTAAAGTTTAACAGAAATACATGTACTTAAAACCCAACTTTAGGTTTGACCACAAAGAATGACAGTGTTAGATCGTTATTCTTGCCTGAGAAGGTAGTGCAGATTCTCGTTATGTTTTGCCCCTTTCTCCCGTTGTCCCTCGGCATCTAGCCACTCTCTCTTTAGAAAGGTTTGCGCCACAGTTGCTACAAAATAGTTAATAATAATTATTCCGCTTTTCTAAAAGCAAAGAATGACTGATGAATCCCCTATTTTTGACATATTGAAAAAACATAAGATATGCTAAATATTTTTCTGAATTCTAATAGTATCTAATCATAACCTTAACTGATGAACAGGAATTTTATCACACAGCAAAATATGTAATTTCCAGTTCAAAGATAATTAACTGAATTGGTTATTCAAAGCAACTGTATTTAATTTTACCTGTTTTTCTACACATTTCCATTGAGTCAGACTTCTCGGCTAAAGTTAACATTAGTTTAATCAACATGACAGCTGTGCTAAGTTTAGGAACTGTGCCTGCAAAGTTTTCTATGTACTGAAATGATGACCTGCAATACAAATGTCATCATACAAACGTAATGTTTGTATGCATTAAAATACAGTGTCTTATTTCGTGTCCATCAAATTTGAATTGATTTTATAGAAAAATCCATGTGATCTTTGTTTTTGACTACAAACATTCACATAAATGCAACTCTGAATATTTACATTTGTAAATGTTTTTTCCTTACATGGTGCTTTTTGAACACAGTGTTTTCACACTTGTGTAAAACAACTTCTTCATGTTACCATAACCTTATTTCTATAATGCTGCCATTTTTATATCTTTGTATATGTACAAAATTTATAAGATCTATGTTTCATTTTAATTAAGACAAATTGAATTAATGATTTACTATTAATTACATATTCAAATAAACTGTTTCTGTTCTTTCACACAGCTAGGCTACTAATGTTTGCAATAATCAACACTCATTATATTTGACATGTACACAAGGGTCATAAAATTATCTCCCTCTTCAACAGCTAACAAAAATTTCAACTGAAATTCTCAGCCAAAACTAGAACTGTCCAATAGGGACAAATACCCCCTGCTGGGTTTTTCAGAGAAGGTGCCAATTCAAAAATACTTTATGGATCTAGAGGTGTTCACAATTTACTTACAAAAATTTGCAGTGAAATATAATTGCTCATCATGTTTCTTAATGAATGAAACAAAGGTGCAACCAAATGAAACATCAATACTAATACATTGTAATTCCATTGTAACAATTTTTTTTATTTTTTCATTTTATTTTTTTTTTATTTCTGCATTAAAAAAATAAATTGCAATTATGTGTTATGTCACTCTGCAAACTGATTGTTAAAAAAAAAACCATTATACAAAATCAAATTAACCTTGATATATCAATTTGAAATGCATTTTGAAAATAAAGAGCTGGTCATCCAGTAATGAAGTGCTTTGACAGACAATAAATTACAATTAAGCTTTGCAGACTGAAATAGGGCAAGTTCTATTCTGTCTGCTTGCATGCCTGCAGTGCAAAACCCCTGTTTACACGCTCTTCTTTTGCAGCTCTGCTTCAAAGCAGCTGCAAAAGCAGAGCGTGTAAACCGGGCTTAAGAGAAGAGAGATCTATAATTCTTGTGCCTTATTCCCTGGAGATTAGATAACACACACACGCTTCATAAGAGATATGCCTTAACAACTTCCAACACCAAACTCATTAATTTATCTTTAACTGGATGCATGTCCAGTCATTATTCCCAAGAGACAAATGAAATTACATTATCTTCTGTGCAATGTAAAAACTGTTTTTAACACTTTATGATGTTTCTTTTTTTTAAGTTTTTATGAGTAGTTTTAAGCTGTAGTATTTTTGAACAGATATTCTAGATTCTATATCTCAAACCTTATACATGAGCCCAAAATCAACTAGTCAATTAAAATAAAAAATAAAACCTGTAAAATGCAAAAAAATTAACAAAAAGAGTTGAAAATTCCAGGTGCACACCTTCATATGGTGAATAATAAGTGTACAAATTTTCAGATTAATCCTTGCAATAGTTTCTGAGAAACGGTCTGGACAAAACCACAAAATAAAAATGAAAAAACACCTGTAAAATTCAAAATAATAATTGAATCAAGATGAAAATATCAGGTGCACAACTTCATATGGTGAATAATATGTGTACAAATTTTCAGACAAATCCTTCCAATAGTTTCTGAGTAATGATCCGGAAAAAATCTCGTCTACAGACAGACAGACAGACGGACAGACGGACATGGTGATTCCAATATACCCCCCCTAAACTTCGTTTGCGGGGGGTATAAAAATCCGAAAATTTTACTTTAGAACATCCTTGAAGCTGAGCTGAGTTGACCCCACAGTTTTTATCCGGGACACTAATGTGGTAAGCCCTTCCTTCAATAGGGACTTATTTTCTACCATCAAAAAGCCATTCCTGTGAAAAAAGGGAAAAAAGAAATATTTATACCAACAAGTTACAGAAATTTTCTCTTTGATCAATACATTAAAATTATAACCTCAACTTTGTCATAACTTCTTTTGACTTAAAGAATGGATATTTAAAAAAAAAAAGAACTGTTAATGCAACTAACTGTATGGGTAGTTGGGTAAATAAATTAACATAGTCAAAATTTTGTGCTATCACTGGGAACTGAGTGGTTGGCATAACTGTGAAATAGTGCTACTCAAGTTCATTCTGTCCATTCTCAGTTTTGTATTTATGAAAATTTTTTAATGGTATTCATGCATTTTTACTTGCACAAAAGCCACTAAACTATGAAGTTGGGTCTTTTTAAGGACTCACCAGGCAAATAAGGTCTGGAGAGCTTGGAGAAGTAGACAGAAACAGGAACCTACAGTGTGAGCCTCGGGGGTGTTGCTGCCCGGCCCATCAATCAAACCGTCGTTCTGCACTATCAGAGTCTAATGTCAACAAAGAAAGGGATTTTATAGTTTGTCATTCAGAAATTTATAATATCCAGACAATTCTAAGTATAGCTGAACATATCCATGGTATTCATAATAAATGTATTTGGTCTACCAAATCTCAACTGTACATACACTTGACACGGACAGCCTACCTGGAAAAATCCACTTGAACTCTCCAAATGTTCACATAATGCTGGCAGCAGCTTTATAACTTTCTTTGCTATGAACTTTGGAGTGCACTGGTCAAGGTGAGAGAATCCCACATTCTTATCTGCCTTTGTCTGAAAAAAAGATAATTCCCATGTTCAATGTCATTTGAAAATGAAAGGGGGATAGGGAATCATGATTTGAACCATATACCTAGTGAAATAGATTAACAAGGCCCTGTTTTTCATTTATTTACTTAAAGTATGACTTTATTAAGCTTTCCAATTTACACTGTATAACCTTGGTAAAAAATTAAATTGGAAAACAAGATGTGTTTGTGAAACACTATGCACCCGGCAGCAACAAATTTCGAAAAAGCTATTTTTAGCACACAGGTCACAGTCAAGGTCACAAGGTCATTGACCTTGGTGTCATTTGAAAGAACTTAATTAGTGGAGTATGCATACCAAATAATGTATGTACTCTGTATCTCTCAAGGTTCAAAAGTTATGTGAAGGTAGAAGTTGGCAACAGACAGACAAACAGATAGACAGACAGGACAAAAACAATTTACGCACAAGATCTATCGATCCAGGAGATTAAATAATTGCAAAAGTAATGTCAACAAAAGTGATGACAAAGTTTTGATCACGAAACATAACCTGAATATTCAGATCAGGTGAACAAATAAAACAAAAAAATCCGAGAAATGGTGGCTAACTACACTATCCTGCCACATTATCATTCATGTGCATGTACATGTATTTGTATTTTTAAAGATCTCTGTGTTTACTTGATATTACATACAGCGGAAACATTTAACTTTAATTACTAGTAATTCATAGTGAACTCTCTCAAGTTTAGCTTTCTCCATGGGCATACCTTGAGAAAAGATTTGCGTTTTGAGGTTGAAGAAATAAGAGAGTGGGAGAGTTTCCTGGTGAAGTCTTCCAACAGGAACTCCAGCTGTGGGGGCTGTATACTGAGCTCTGTTGTGCCCTGAAAAGATAAATATAGAACAAAATTATCATCACAAAAGGAACCTCTCACACAGCAAATAAGTGCTTCCATCTCTGTAGAATGGGAGTTGATGAAGTCTGACACTTCAATCCAGGTTACCTTACCGGGATTTGTTAGGATTACCTGCTTGTGTCGAGTTCTGTATCCAGGTATGACTCGGTGATCCGACGAGTGTGTGGTTTAGAACGGGTTCTATATCGATTACCTACCTTTATGTTGAGTTCTGTATCCAGGGAGGACTTGGTTATCAAGGCAAGGTATAGGATAAATTGGGATTTGCTGGGATTACCTACCTTTGTGATGAGTTCTGTATCCAGGACAGACTTTGTTATCCCAAAGTATGTAGGATATTGTGGGATTTACTGGGATTACCTACCTTTGTGTTGAGTTCTGTATCCAGGACAGACTTTGTAATCCCAAAGTATGTAGGATATTGTAGGATTTTCTGGGATTACCTACCTTTGTGTTGAGTTCTGTATCTAGGGATGACTTGGTGATCAGTCCAGTATGAAGGATAGTAAAAACGCTGATGTCTAGCTCCCTGCAAGTTAATGTAAAATATGAGTGAATTAGTTTCATGTTTTATCTGAATATTTCAACTGTGCACATTTTTTTTTTCGTTTACAATATAATTCACCTATACAATACACATATTTCCATTTTTTTTTTTTCATTAAAAAATAAATCACCTGAAAAATGGTCTATAGTTTGCCATGTCCACATTTGGTTTCTCATTTGTCTCAGATTTTTCAGGAATCAAGGTTTCATTCTGTGTGTCCTTTAACATGATAAAAAAGTTCACAAGCATTTATCACACTGTATTAGATAATTATATTCACAGTTAAGTACTGTAGAAGTGCTTTCTTCCCTGTGGTATTAATTTATGTTATGTATGCGGTCACAAACTTTCCGCAGAAATCTGTTCCATCGGACTCAATATATATGTAAAGCTTAAAGTGACAAGAGATGTTTGTAAAACACTTATGCCCCCCTCCCCCCAAATTGGAATTTTTTTTGTAAGTCCAAGGGGCATAACTCTGTCAAAAATGGTGCGATTGTACCCAAAACAGAACTTGACCTAGATATTAATGTGATTTATCTGTATACCAAATTTGATTTCAGTATGTGCAACTGTTTTAAAGAAAAGGAGCGGAAACTGCAAATACTTGAAATTTTTCTAAGTCCAAGGGGCATAACTCTGTCAAAAATGGTGCGATCATACCCAAAATAAAACTTGACCTAGATATTCATGTGATATATCTGTATACCAAATTTGATTTCAGTATGTGCAATGGTTGCGAAGAAAATGAGCGGAAATTGCAAATAATTGAAATTTTTCCAAGTCCAAGGGGCATAACTCTGTCAAAAATGGTGCGATCGTACCCTAAAACAGAACTTGACCTAGATATTAATGTGATTTATCTGTATACCAAATTTGATTTCAGTATGTGCAACTGTTCCAAAGAAAATGAGCGGAAACTGCAAATAATTGAAATTTTTCTAAGTCCAAGGGGCATAACTCTGTCAAAAATGGTGCGATTGTATCCAAAACAGAACTTGACCTAGATATTCATGTGATATATCTTTATACCAAATTTCATTTCAGTATGTGCAATGGTTGCGAAGAAAATGAACGGAAACTAAGTGGACCGACAGACCGACCGACCGACAGACAGCAGCAAAGCAATATGCCCTCCCTTCTTCGAAGGGGGGCATAAAAAATTCAGGAAATCCATGTAATTTTCTACCCAGATTGAAAGGAGACAGAGATTCTGCGGACTCATGACCCCATGGAAACAAGAGATGTTTGTAAAACACTTATGCCCCCCTCCCCCCAAATTGGAATTTTTCTAAGTCCAAAAGGGCATAACTCAGTCTAAAATGGTGCGATCCTACCCAAAACATTTTTTTGCCTAGATATTCAGCTGAAAAATCTGTATACTAGATTTTGTTTCATTATGTGCAACCTCTGCAAACAAAATGAACGGAATCTTCAAATAAGTGGAATTTTTCTAAGTCCAAAGGGCATAACTCTGACAAAAAGGATGCGATCATACCCAAAACAGAACTTGACCTAGATATTTATCTGATATATCTGTATACTAAATTTCATTTCAATATGTGCAACCTCTGCAAAGAAAATGGACGGAAACTGCAAATAAGTGGAATTTTTCAAAGTCGAAGGGGCATAACTCTAACAAAAAGGACCCAATCATACCCAAAACAGAACTTGACCTAGATATTTATCTGATATATCTGTATACTAAATTTCATTTCAATATGTACAACCTCTGCAAAGAAAATGGACGGAAACTGCAAATAAGTGGAATTTTTCTAAGTCCAAGGGGCATAACTCTGTCAAAAATGGTGGGATCGTACCCAAAACAGAACCTGACCTAGATATTTACCTGATAAACCTGTATACCAAATTTCATTTCAGTATGTGCAACGGTTGTAAAGAAAATGAACGGAAACTAAATGGACCGACAGACCGACCGACAGACCGACGGACAGCAGCAAAGCAATATGCCCTCCCTTCTTCGAAGGGGGGCATAAAAAGTACGTCTACAGTAATTTCTTATGAAAGTACTTCATCTTCTGGCTTTAATAAACTAAGGAAATTGCTTTGACATATATAACAACTCACCAGCTGTGATGAATCTTTGCTGTTCTCATCGCTTTCTAAACTAAGGAAATTGCTTTGACATATATAACAACTCACCAGCTGTGATGAATCTTTGCTGTTCTCATCGCTTTCTTCATCTCGTATATTTTCTTTGTCACCTTTCTTTCTGAATATGAAATACTTGAGATTTTAACCCCTATATACATGTACAGTATTTTAGAATATATCATGCAAATCATGATAATATACCACTACATTTTTTCCCAGAAATACAGATGGAGTAGCAAATAAAGCAAGGCTACCCTCAAATGTGGTTAGTCTGAGGCTCTGACAGGGAAAATTTTGCACTATGCACTTCATAAACTTTATATGACTTATCCACTAGCACCAATCACATTCTATAAATAACTTACTTCTTAGCTGGTTTTCTGCCCTTCTTTTTCCCGTCTCCATTAGTAGTCACGGGAGGATTCAGCAGTGGATTTTCGTACCAGTCAAAG